CTTAATTCCTTCAAAAGTGATAAAATAGGATGATGAATAAAGGCTTCATTTATTTATTTAACCACCAGTCTTAGTATAGCAGCCAAGTATCTAAACTTGGCATCTGAAACAACAGTTTTCAGCTTGTATTTTATCATTTACTTCTACAAAGCAGTAACCAGAGTGGAGCCCTGCCAGCACATGCTATTCTTGCCAGGCCCAGGTGACTGACCTGCTCTGTGGAGTGAGAGGGAGTGCTACTCCCAAAGACTATTCACAGGTACAAAAGTGCACTGTCCCCCTTTCTTCCACATCTTTCTGATTCACAAAGTTTGTATTGCTTTTATTTCCAGTGTTGACAGTTTTATCACCAATCATTTTCATTTCTGTGCTGATGCATGGAAGATGACCACATACCAAACACTGCTACAGCACAGTGCTACTATGGGATGATACTGGCATCACATGTAATTAGCCATTTTAATCTCTTCTTTTAATAGCTGGGAAGAAAACACATAGAATCTCTGAACAAAACAGCCTCAATTTTCATTTGAAAAAGGAAATAAAGAATGATTCATTCTAAAACTGTACGCTCCAAAGGAGGAAGACTTGAATTATTAACAACTTATCTAAACGTGATGGGTGCTGACACCTTCATCTTTTATTTTTACTGCCATGCATTTCTTCACAAGGGGTGAGAGAATTTACACTACAGGAAGTGTTAATGGTTTCACGCTTTCTACCCATTTTTAGCTGTCTAATTTATGGAAAGCCATTACAAGGTGAGTCATTGCTTTCACAGGATTAGTGTGGCTGAGACAGAGTTTTAGGCGTTCCTTCATTTTTCATATTTGCTTGAAAGGAACAACAGACCCACAATAAAACAGAGTTCAGAGGCACTGCTCTTCTTGATCATATACAAATATTGCAAGAGCTGCTCCTTGTCCCTGTAAGCTAACAGCTGAAAAAAAAAACAGTGATAGAGATTCATCTGCATTACAGACACTGTAAGTTGAGGTGTCTCATTATCCAGAATTTGTGCTTAATTGGATGGGAGTTAAATAGTTACAAGGATAGTTACAAGGATAATTACAAATAGAAGCAATAATGGGAATCCCACTATAAACAACTCTTCTCCTGCAATAGCCGTTGCAGGAGTGCATTTACTCTCTTCTTGATCTCAAGAGATCTGGTTAGATGTTCACAAATTACAAAAAAAAAAAATCACTCAAGCATAAGTATCAGGGCTTGCCCTGATAGTGAATAGAAAGAGTAAGTTTTCCATGGGTTGAAATACATTTGGGTTGTCTGTACCACCAATGTAGCAAAATAAATTCAGCGTGTGGAATATTCAGGCACTGAATAAGGTGTAGCTCTCATAGCCAATGCTCTTTGTAAGGTCTGTTCAGTTTAGAAAGCAGTCTCCAAGAGATAGTAACAGATTAATTTTAAAGAAAATCTGGAAATGAATGTCTTTTTGAACTGTTGTCCTACAAACCTCTTAATTTACTGCAGAAGGCATGTGTTACCTATGAGGATTCATTCACCCAATTAGAAACTCTTAAACATCCATGTCTTTTTTTCTGCTACAGGTTTTCTTTTTTTTTTTTTTTTTTTTTTTTTTTTTTTTTTTTTTGGAACAAATCTACCTTTGGAGGTTGTTTGTTTCAGTTGTGGTTGTTTGTTTCAGTTGTGTGCAGATTAGAAGCCTGTATTTCACTCCATAGCACATACCAGGTAGTCAGACTATCCATCCATAGCTTCAGAGTTGTCCTTGCTGGGAAGTCTGTTGTGCAGTTGGTCAGTGTAAACCTCTTGCTGGATTAACTTAAAACTACTGTCCTAAAGAAATGAAATTTTTATTTTGAGGTACTGTCTGTAAACAATAATGAAGTACCACTAGTTCTCCCTCTTTGTTTTCCACTGGAGAGTTTGTGGGGAATAAAATTAGAGAAATGATGTTACAAGCCATTTTTTGTTTAGAATTCTTTTTCTCTCCACAGTTTTATGTTCTGTCAGCATCTTTTTTCTCACATCAATTACCCTGACCTAAGAAAAACAAACCTCTTCGTAATGGTGCTTGAGGATTGGTATGTTTGCTGTATAAATTCTGAAGCAGATATTGAGTTGCTCTAAACTGAACGAACAGTGAAGCCACAAGCATTTTTTTCAGCTGCAGATTGTAATTTTATATATAAACTATCATTTGTTTTTCCTAGGATTATTAAAATACTTGGAAAAAATTAAGAACATAACTGGAATATAAAACAGTATGCATAAAGTGGGCAAATGGTAAATTACTGGTGTTTGTTAAATGCTAAGTTGCAGATCATGTTAAGTGCTGTACGTGTAAGTCTTCGTTTGCTGCCATTCTCTTTTGAAAGGGATGTTATAAAATAAATCCTGAATGCCCCTTAAAATGTATCATCTAATTGATCATATGAGAATGGTTAGTCAGTAGTGTAGGCATGTAGAAAGTTCATTCATATTCAATCATCCATTTTATTTCAGCTTGAAGTTAAACATTCTTCAGCTGCTATTATACAGAAAGAGTTTGTTCTGCAGACAGAAGCCCATTGGAACTGCTGTTTGTAAGAAAATTCAAAGTACTCTGATAATTGAGCTTTGAACAGTTTCACCACAATCCTGCAGGAGGGGTTTTTCTTAATGTGTTTGGACTAATTATTGTTATTCACCGGATGTACATATAGATTTTCAGGCAAAAATATTTGGAATTTTATTCTAAAGTTAAATCAACACAGACATTTGAGTTCGATGCTTTTAGTTGTACTTTCAAAATGCTCCATGTTTTTCGTGTTCTCATTTCATTCAGGACAGTTGAGACAGTGCAGAAGAAAAGAACAGAAGCAGCTATGTCCTTTGAGAGCTGAATGATTGCCTGCTCCTTTGTTGTATCACTTTTACTGAAAATGAAGCCTCTTCCTCTACCAGAGAACTATGATGTGTTAGAATAACAATAGCAAAACTAGAGGCTGAAAAAGAAGTGTATGGATGCAAGTCTTTTAAATGGAGTCTGTGCTCTCAAGGAAGTTTAACTTATGTGACTGCATCTTCACTGTTCTGCTAAATGTGGAGGAGTGTTGAAGACCACGTAGATACGAATTCCTAAATGTTGCTGCAATATCAGTAGCTAGGTAGATATGAGACCCAGATTACCATTTCCAGCTGAGGGAAAGTCTCCCAGGGAAGCTCAGGAGATCTTTCTTACTGTCTCCAGCCATATGTGGGGATGGTCCAGGCTTCACCACTAGCAAATGTTCTGTATGCTGTCTGATGTTCAGTAGATGTGGAAGGGTGGGGAAGGGCAGTGGATGTGGCTGGAACTGGCAACACTGCTGGTCTTGCAAAATGGTAAGGGAGGTAAGCTGATGGTACTTGTTTGACTGGGGAGTAATGTAGCAATTTGGGTGTGAATCCAAGCTTTATTGGTTTGAGTCCTCATGGAACAGTTCATAATATAGTCTGCAAATGTTTTTGTTGTTGTTGTGTTTTTTTTGTTTTTTTTTTTTTAATTAATGAAATTGTAAGCTAGGACATAAATGGAATAATTTGAATATTGCTGGTGTTTTAGACAAGTGGAAGGGATAAGATTCAGTTTGGTACCAATAAAAAAACCTCCCTGGGGACACTTGCCACAAAATGGCAGGAAAACACAAAATAGGGAGTTATGACAATGTGTCATGAAAGTTTGTTCTACAAATAGGCCAGTGGATTGAGTATTTGTCCTGCTTTGATGCTTTTTTTTTTTTTCCAAGCAAGCTAACCTAGAAAGGATAAAAATAAAGCAAGCCATTACTAACAGACTTTTTTTTTTTTATTGGCACCTGTTACTGAATCTTGTGCTTCATTCTGTGGTAAAACAGAAATGTCTAAATGAATCCAATTCATATCTTCAAGGTAATAACTGACAAGTTAATAAAAGTAACAATTAGAAGACACGGGTCTGCATCTGCTTTCTTTTGTTCAACTCAGTGCATTCGTTCATACAAGGTAGTCAGAATAGTTTAATGTCTTCTTCATATGTTCCTTTTTTTTTTCCCTTACCGAATTAAGTAAAAGCATTCTTTATTCTTGAACATCGACAATTGCACCAGAAGACATCTAAAACGGTAAGGAGGAGTTATACCCTACTATTAGAAGCCCTTTGGACATGGCCTGATACAATGTGGAGTTGTGACAGTAATATTTTACTGTAATTACTTTCTTAAAATGACAGAGCACTGCAATTGCTATCATTTTTTCAGTGTGAGTTAAACTCGGTGTGTGTGATTCAGGCATATTCATTTGACAGAATGCTCTGAATTTGCATGATTAGACAGCTTTTCATATTATGCAGCTCATCAGGGCATTTTTCCCAAGTAAAAGCCAAGCCTGTGCCAAATTAGCCGCTTTTTATTTTCAAAGGTAGGTGGAGAATAATCTTACTGTGTTCAAGAAAAGTCTCTGACCTGTCTGCACATACATTCAGGTGGGTAGGTAAATAATATTTCTAGTTAGTTCTAGACATAAAATGGCATGTTGGAAGATTGAAGGCTGAGCTAAAGTTCTTAAAAACAAACAAACAAAAAACACCAAAATGAAAGTACAAAATGATACAACAAACTTGTGAAATGAAGGCATTCTCAGAGTATCTACCAATAACTAAGCATCCCAGAGTATAACAATTTAAAAATGGAGAGAACAGCTCTGAATTGCAGTTGTCTAATATGTGCAGGCACTAAAATTTTTCATACTCACAAGTGTTTTTATTCTATATAGTCTGTGTTTATTCTATAGTTGATTCAGTCTATTCTATGGATGTGCTTTGGTTGGCCCTCACTTATGGGCCTAAATCTAAGTATTACAAAACGTACTTGTAAAGATGGATGGCAGTCTGTTGCTATCAGCTTTGCCTGAGTTAGAAAAAACAAACCATCAAAACATCTGATGCAGATCTCTTTTAGGAAAAGCAAACAAATAAACAACAACAAAAACAACAGACAAGATTGAGACAGACAAACCTGTTTCAAATTCAGAGGTCAGTCCTGCCTGGAGATAAGGTAATGGCAAAGATGACCTCCTGAGGCCTTTTTCAGATGGATCTATCTTCCACTATTCTGTTAAAAAAAAAAAAAAATAGTAAAACATCAGTCAAAAGGATGTCTGTTGCCACAATATTCCCAATTCTGTCAAAATCTGTTGCTCACACTGGTAATTAACTAACCTTCTGTGGCTTTGCACCACTTCCCTTTTTCTTAGTAGAAAGATTTTTGCTGTCAGTCCAAAGCCCATCACTTTCATATTGTGACATAAAATCTAATTTAATCATTGGCTAGTTAACTAAGGGAATACCTTATCTATATGGAATGCCTAATGCCACATGTCTGCTGTGCATCTAACGTATACCACTCTTTGTAGCTTACCTCTTCTATCTGTGATAATTATAAACCATGACTATAATTACATCCTTTTAAAGTACTTATAATTTATTATGTTTTGCTACATTCAGTGGCCGTGTTGGTTATCTGGCAGTACAACATATTTGGGGCTGTGCAATGTCAGGTCACTAATCTCCCTCTTGCACTCCGGCCTGTCAGCCACATGAGAGTGACTCACTTTCTGCAAACCTCCTGTTACTTAGTAGCTGTAATGTGAAAATGTTGCGAAAGTAGTTAGGAGGTAAAAAGAGGAAGAGGGCTGGGAGGCAGGGTGATCCTGGCTGCCTAAAAGCGCATCATTTCATCTAATTAGGGGAAGAATTTTCCCTGTTTCCTCCCTGACACAAGGTACATGAATTTACATGCTCTGCTCCACTCTGTTCTCTGCAGCATCCTGTAGTGTTAGTTATGCTTGCGGCCATTTACTGCAAGCACTTATTTATTTACTTCTGTGTTCCTCTTTTTGTTAGTAGTATCTCTTTGTTACCTAGGGAACCGCCATGTACTTTCTTTCCTCTTTGGAACTCCATGATGCCATGCTCAAGGTTCCAGGTAGTGCAGTGCCTAAGGTACTGTATGTCTGAAACCTGTTGTGCCAGGCCTGTGTTACTGGCACAGCACGATGACTCACACAGAAAACATGCAGGACCAAAGAATAATAAAATAATAATAAAAGCTCTACCAGTGCATTTAATTTTGCTGCGGATAGGCTGAATTTGAGGTAGCCAGGTGGATTTAATTCCCAGTATTTAGTTGGGGTAGTTGTTGTATAGCTTTTTCAACAAAAAGGAACTCCAGAAATAATACTTGCCAAACTTTTGTATCTGTATCCCAATCAGAATTGTAGAAGGGTAATAATTTGCCTTCCAGTGAATGGAAAGACGGAGAGAGCTTAAAGAGTGGCTTTGTGAGCAAGAAATGATGATAGTTAATTTCTATGTGAAGCCCTGAGAATGCTATGCAGTAATTTACAGGTCACTAGAAAGTCCTAAAGAATCCTAGGATTTAGCTTGGACTTTTCAAAAGACAGGCATAGGAAGCTTTCTCCATCCCAAAAAATTATTCCTTAAAAGCAGGGAAAGCACGTCAGTCTTACTACTCCTTGCTCCTCTGTATCAGAGCTAATTTATACCTGACTGCAACCAGCACAAATTGCAGCAGTTTCTACTGCGCTGGTATGTGAGTCAGTGAGTAGGGGGGTGACTGAGTCAAACTCAGCCTAGATCCTCTCCTCCCACTCCTTACCCAGCTGCTGCCTGTTTACTCCTTTGGGTTTAGCCCATGATCCTGGCAGCCTACACAGAAAGTTAGAAATAGTGGATGTTCTTACTCCTCTGCCTGAGAACAGAGGGGTAGTCTGAGCGTAGCGCACCGTGTCAGCGTGAACTTCGTCAGTTCTGTTCAGAGATGGGACTTGGATATTTGCTTAAGGATCTAGAGGCTGAAAATAGAGTTTTTTGAATCTGGATTATCTGACAGATCAAGATGTTTAGCGTTATTGTTTTGTGCAAATGTACACTGGCTTGGACTCCTGAACTTTTGAAATGTTTGTTAGATATTTACATGTTGCCTCTATAGCTTCCAAGGCAAACTATGTTTCCATCTAATATGGAGGGTAAAACAACAGCGATGATCCTGACTGCATTTTCAGAGCATATATCACTTCATTCTTGAAGTGAACAAGTTTAATTGCCCAGGCACTGAGCAAAGCTTTGTTTTGTCATGTTTCCTCCTTCCCATAGCCTAGTATGCTTTGGGGATTTTCATTAATCCAGCCTTGTTTCAGTTAACCAGGATTTGATTTCTCTGGTGAAACTTTTCTTTGTTTTGGGATTTTGTTTGTTTTAACGTTGTTGTTGTTGTTTGTTTTTTAATACCCGGGGCAAAACTGAAGGCTCTCAAAGGGATTGGATTAAGAAGCAAACACAAGGGGCTGATGGAGGATAAGGATTGTTAACTAGAATCTGGTACTTTTTGTAAGAGCAGTTTGTTTATGTATACCTTTAAATGATTTGAAATTCAGCTGAGTGCTGGATTGTTGAAGTATTTTTCTTCAACCAATTCGGACAATTCTTCAACCAATTTTTCAACCAATTCTTCAACCATTTTGTGACAAAAGCAGATCGAAGAGCTGATTTTTGCACCAGTTTTATTTGTGCAAAAAGAAAGTTTTTCAGCAGATGAAGAGGAATTTTTGTAAGCACCCGAGGCCTGGTAATTCTGAAATCTTGTGAATAATGGTATGGTCAGTCCTATCCAGAAAATGAAGAGAATAATTCTTTTTTAAAACTTGTCTTTTAGTGCAATACAGTCTTTTGATACATTGTACTGAATGTATTTTTAGTTACTAACTATAATTAGTATTTCATATGATGACTTTTCTGCAGTTTTTACTGATCTGTTAATTTCAATCCAGAGTAGTTTGATGCAAATTAAGAATTTAAACAAAATTTAGGAGGCAATAAATGATGTATGTATTTTTACACTATAATGTTAATGTCAATGTAAAGATTAGGTTAAAAAATATGTAAGATAGTTTTTATACCTGTATTTGCTTTAATTCCATAATCAAATCTTTTTTAGGATAAAGATTGTAGGTAGTTTCAAATAGTCAAATTAATCCCTTTCTGAGAAAAAACCTAAACAGTATGGAACTACAGTTGGTAACGTTTTGTTCAATACAGGGAAGTTACCCCAAAAGGAGATTGTTTTCTTTAGAGTTGTTTAATTACTTCAGTGCTCTGTATTTAAGCATGTATATTGGTAGTCCTTGTAGCTGTGAAATGTTGGAATAACTCATCACCTAACACAAGCATATATTAGACAGTTGGCTTTAGGGTGTTATCCTCAATTTTAATTTGTGAACCTAAAATGTGTATGCCAACACCCTGCCTCATCCTTCAGGCAAATCTGTCTGACTGTCTGCAAAGCTTGGTCAGTGGTTAACATGTGAATCAATATCCCTGCATTGTGTTGAGCTCATCTAAGCCACAGCCTTTGCAAAAGATGACAGCAAGGGGAAAGGATCTAAAAAATCTGGAATGTTGATATCTCAGAAAAGGAATCTGCATTGTGCTGCTTTTCTGAGTAACAGAGACCTCACACGAATCACCACAACTGGGTGTTGTGAAGACTGCAATTTATGAAAATTATGGCAATAATGCAACTCTTTCTGGCAAATTTTTTGTCACAGAAATCATTTGGCTGTACTAATTGGCTTAAGAATTTGGGTGCTTTGGGCCTTGTATTTGTTGTGAATATAAGATACTGGAGAAAATAAATCAGTTATTACTAGCGTAACAAGCGATGATCAAATTAAAGATGATGTCTTAAGGTTCCTCTGTTTTTCCTCCATGTACGTATTTAGCACAGCATATGGTCAACACAGTCATAATAAACTGATGAGAGTATTTAATTAAATGTGTTCCCAGGACTTTAAATGCAGGGTATTATCTTTGGCTGATGAGCAGCGTAAATATTTAGTAATAAGGGAGAGCTCTTGTAGGATATTGCCAGTAATACATGAAAATCACATTTGGGAACAGAGATGTGTTCAAAGCAGAACTTTCTTCATAAAATTAACACATCTCAAAATGCTAATTCCTTTCATATGTGATTTTTTTTCTTACCACCAATTCACTATTACTCATTACTACGCAATTATTACAAATAGCATGAGAAATCATTTTAAAATTGATAGTTCTAGAATGCAGTGAGCCTAAGTTAGCCTGCAGCCATTTAATTGGCAATGATCATGTTTTTACTGAATAAGGAAGGTCTCAGGTAAGAGCAACATCTTCGTTAAAACAGTGACTGTTCCCTGGCAGTAAGGGAAGCCTATTTGATCTTGTTAAGAGTTGATTCTATTCCCCCTGAAATTTCAGAGAGCTGGAAACACCCTTCTGTAACATTTCCATCCCCAGGTATGCAAATGTCTATTAACTCAGTAGAGACACCTCTGTCAACAGCCTAATTAGCTTTTCACTCTATCAGTTCTATGGTATCATGACCTTCTTTCCTTCCATAGAGCAGCTTTGTTTCCCTGTGAAAGTGAGATTAGCAGAATGAGAGCAAGGATAAAATTAACCTGGAGGTGGGGAACAGTGACCGAAGAGGAGAAGATCACCTAGAAATCTGAAGGAAATACAGTTATTGGGCAACAGGTCTGAAACTGAAGTCCCTTATCGAGTGTGTGCATCTCCGAACTAAGTAGGTCTCTAATCAGTGTTATCAAACCAGGGTTTCCTTTTGAATAGACCTGTCACCTCACAGGCATGACAATTTACTTGTAAGAGGCTGAGAACCTAATTCTGAAGGACACTTATTTGATATTTTTGTTACTGTTGGAAGTAAACTGGCCTTTTTTCTCTGAACTTCTCCTGGCATAATTAGTGCATGCTTCTGAAAGAGTTACAGAACCTGGCACTCTTATTTTGCTAAAGGAAAAGTAAAAATCTTGGCAGGAGGTGTTGCAGTATAGCTTACATATCCAGCTTTCTGGCTCCACACAAGAACACGTATTTTCCCAGACAGAAACACAGCAGCCCATCCATGCCTGCGCCAGCCATATATTACTGTTAAGTTTGTACAGGTAAACGTAAGCTATGAAAGGCCCATAACTTCAAGGAGTTAAAGATGGCATGAAAATAGGTTGGCACAGAATTTTAGTTTGGTTAGATTGGGTTTTGTTGGGACTGTGTCAAACAGTGCGTAGTTAAACTGATTGAAAAACTTGCTCTGGTGTTGGCTAAACTGACATTCTGTAGAAATAAGATCCCATTTGGAAGAATCTAATTGTCGGAAAACATGGAACTAGTAAATCTTTCCAGGAAGGAACATGAGATAATGACCTTAAGTTGTGTCAGGGAGGTTTTGGTTGAATATTAGGAAAAAATTATTCTCAGAAAGAGTGGTAATGCACTGGAGTAAGTTGCCAAGAGAGGTGGTAGATGCACCTTCCCTGGAGGTGTTCAAGAACCATGGAGATGTGGCACTGAGGGACATGGTTAGTGGGCATAGTGAGATGGTTGATGGTTAGAACTGATGATCTTAGAGGTCTTTTTCAACCTCAGTGACTCTGTGAAGCAGAAGACTGTTAATGTTGTCACTAGAAATTCTCCTTTGCAAATCAGCAAAGGAGAAAAATTATTTTAGCTATTACTGCACAATAAATAAAGCAAATTCAAAACTAACAGCAAACACCCAGTGCTGTAGAGCTCTATTATTTCCTTAGAGATCATCCCTGTCTTAAAGCTTTCAGATGCATCTGAATTCACAAATGAACACTGCACCAGGAACAACTGTGAGCCATTTGTTTCTACAGTTACTGCACTGACATGTTGAGTCACTAAAATAGTGTATGAATTTGCACATGTGGTAAATTTTCATCACTGTTTTAGAGTTAAGTCACAACAGTACATTGCTGTGGTCTGAAGTGGTCTGATTATTATTATTATTTTTAATAATTAGGTACAGTTTGTTTTGTTTTAATGCCTTCTGACAAACCCCATTTACGCAGACTAGCCCTAATGGATAGATGCCTTTCAGAGGAATAAAAATGCAAGAACAGCATCTTAAGTATACCTAAGTTTGGCTACAACAGCAAATATGTACTACAAAAATACAGTACCTTGACAGTTGGAAAAAAAAAAGTAAAGAGGAAGAAAAGCAGTGCAATTTCCTATCTTATTAGAATGACAGGGAGAAGGGCTTGAGGAAAGAGGAATCAGACTGCGATTTATAGAAGATTGCTTCCTTCATTCGACTTGTTATAGCAATCATTAGTCAAATCTGCTGCTGCACTGATTCACTTTCATTGCCCCCTCTGCTGAGCTTTGCCAGCTGATACCAGCTTAAGGTGGCTGATATAATTCACACTTTTTTCTTGCTGTAACCCTTTACCATGTGTGTTTGTCAGTCTTTATGTCTGAGAGGTCAGAAATGATTCCTGCTCTTAGAAGTAGTTTGTGAACTTCGCTTTGTGTTCAGTAACTGAAGAAGAGGGGAGCAGGAGGATGGTAAGGAAGGGGCCTAGACTGCTTTGCTCTGCCTTCCCGTGCCACTAAGCAAGTCATATAATCTCCTTGTATCTCAATTTCCCAGGTGTATGTAGGGATAATAGCTTTTCCTTTGCTTCTTGCAATGATTTTAGGATAACGACTTTGAAGGCCCTGCAGGTGATACTTTATAAACGTTTTGGGTGCGTAAAACATTTTGCTGAAAACAGCTCTCAAGGTCCTGATGTAAACCATACCAAAGCTTCTCTCATGCATGGGGATGGCTCTGCATCATGTGTCTCCCTTCCCTAATCTGACTAACACAAAAATTTCTCTTATACAGTTCACACAGATGAAAAAAAATAAAAGCGCATGTCCGTCAAATGTTCCCAAACGTTAGATACATGGTCATCCTTAATGTTCTCTAAACTGGTGCTGAAATGGAGAACTTTAATGCTAGATACCTTAAATATTCTCTTCTTTAGAGCTGCAGCTCCCTTTTACTGTTAGAGCTAAGAAGTAAATTGCTTCCAAAACATCCAGGTGAGATGAGAAATTTGTTAGTCATGAATTTGACCTACCAGCTTCAGGCCCTGCAAGTAACCAGAAGAACTGAGGAAATCTGAGTCAGCTGAGATCATTTTAGTGAATCACTAGGACAGTGCCAAACATTTCTTCATAGCTGGCTGTGTACATACACAGATCCAGCACCTGCTTTCAATTGGTGAGATTGCTTATGTGCTAACTGGCATGCTGGAGAGCAACATAACTGATGTTACGTAAAAGAATGACCTACCGGCAGAGCTCTGAGGAAAAGGTTTGGTAAGAGCAGATTGCACTGAAGGCTGCACCCAGATCTGATTGCTCTTGTGTTAGATTTTACATAATTAATTAAGATGTGGCTGTTAATTACAAGCTTGCTGTACCTTAGCATAAGGATTCTCTTTGGTAGTTACCTTAGCTCCTGCTGGATAGTAAAGGCAAATGTAAAAATACAAATTCCTGTTACTGAGAAAGCAGAGGAATTCCAAGAAATACAACTGAAACAAAATTAGATGATAGCAAGGAGCTGGAGGAGAACAAACTGGGAAGCATCTACTTTATGTTATATCATTTTAAGGCCTGCCTGGGAAGTATGTTAAAAAAAAAAAAAAAGGTGAAAATTACTTGGCAGAAAAGGTATACAGCAGCATACAGATATGACCAAGAACACTGTTGCATTTATAAGCTCTGCTTATTTGTGGAAACATGTGGCTAATAACACTTCTTCTCATATATTTCACTTGCATAGTGTTCAGAATGCTAGCAGTCCATAGCACAAGAGGGGGTCTTTGTTAGCATTATTAGTAGTGAACAGCATGACACATTTCCCTAGAAAAAAATACTGGTTTGTGTTGACTGAGAAAAAGCCAATTATTTCCTTGACTGAAAAAAACATGAACAATTTAAATTTTTATTCAGTTATTGTCCTAGGAACTCCTTTTGAAGTTCATAATGCTCCAACGTGATCATGCTTTGCATTATTTGGGCTTGTATATGTTATGGTTGGATTTTGATCCTTTGTGACAACAGTGTAGACTCAGAATAAATCCCATTACAGGTGGCAGCAGCATCCGTTCTTTTATGTTTTTAATAATGACTGTGAGATCCTTAAAGCATGAACAATTTGTGTACAGTTCAAATTATTTTCTTTAAGCTGAAGCTTGATGATGACATTCTCACATGCAGTAGGAAAAAGAAAGTGTAAAATGCAGCAGTGCTCCAGGTCTGCTGCAAACAGCAGCTCCATCACTGGGAGTCTGTGTGAGGGTCAGAATTATCTGTAGGGATCTCAGCCCAGAGGCAATGCTGTCAAACTGGATTTTGCAGCTCAAGGTACTTTTAGAGAACTAACTTTAGGTGCTTCTAGGCACTCTGACAGTGTCTTAATGGGGCCATAATTCTAACAGCATTAATCAGACCCCAGGATGTAATAGGGAATGATTCATAGAGAAACACAGTGTTCTCTCAGTCCATCACTGTGGGAAGGCATTGATAATGCATGAGTGGGATTTGTGATATTTTTTCAGTTCACATGCTTACGGATTTCCTCTGCAGCTTCAGGAAAGGTTTTATTTCCCTGCAGGAAGCAGTGGCAGAGTCCCTTGAAAGGAAAGGTGAGGTTTCACACACCAGAAGTATGGGTGTGAATAACAACTGGCTAAGGCTGACAGACCCTGCTCAGGCTGGCAGGGTGTCATGGCTGTATAAGCAAACGTACGGAGACTGAACTGATCTTTTGCATTCTAAAGGACTTTTATTCTGTCTGAAGTTGTTTTAAAGCAACCTTAGGGGAAACCATATTGATACTTAAAAAAAAGGGATGATGCTTGTAAGATCAAGGCTCTTTTAATAGCATTGCTGCAAATATTAATCCAGTGTTCAAGACAAGCATTCAAGCCTAGCTAGGTGTTCTGCTGGGGCATTTGGTGACCACCAGAGTGTTGGTTAAGCATTGCTTAGTGCTTTAGATGACTAACGCGACACTGTGTGCAATTTTGACCCACTTCCTCCTCCATTTCTTTCTCCTCTCCTTTTGTTTTTCTTTACTTGGTTATCCTTCAGCCTGACACTGAGGATCAAGGGAATGCATCGTTCAGTGTGCTGAGGAAGAAGATGGGGTTGCAGCCCTGGCTCCTATACCAGCTAGGAAGGCGAACAGTTTGATACGGTTCTGACAAAATGTGTGTGAAAATGAATTGCAGAACATGGGAACATGGGACATCGGTGTTGTGATTCAGGAATGTAGAAGGGGTGTTGTCAGACAGTGGACACCTCCTTTCGACTTATCCTAAAAAAAAGAGTAGTGAATAAATGAAAATAGTTTCAGACACTTTTTATGTTCTCTGGTTTTAATCTAGGTCTGCTCCAGCTCCTACCCAAGGACCCACTGGTGCTGGGGCTGCAGGACCACTTCCTGCTACTAATGTGTCAAGTAACAAACGGCTGCAGCAGACACAAGCCCAAGTGGATGAAGTAAGTGGCTTCACATGATCAGTTGCTCACCCCAAGGCTGCTCATGTGATTGTTTTTTGTTGTTTTTTTTCTTCTTTTAAGATGCTTGCCTCACTAGTGATCCAGCAACTCCTTGTCTGAAGACACTGGGTCTGGGAAATGATATTTACCAAAGAATAGCATTTATGAAGAGGCAGACTGTGCTCAGAATGTCTCTTGTACTAATGTACCAGTAACACTTCTACAGGATAGATATGGACATCAGTACTGTTTCAGAAATTTGTCCCAGAAGGTCATGTTAGGAGGAGAAGGCATAGTGAATCAGATCTTTTAATGTATTCCTGTATTCCTAAAGTTTGAATGCTAATCTTACAGGCTGTTTCATACAAACAAACCATTGGCCTCTTGTTCATACATGCAGGCTTTGAAAATTGTACTGGTGAGGGCTGTGTTTATTAGTCAGAGCTGTAATGATTAATCATTACAATTCACCCCCACAGAAGGGCACCCACTCATGGCATCACAACATCTTCAACAAGTCCTCACTCCTTCTGGCTGACCTTAGAGGAATTTGTGCCTATTCCCGCATGGCTTCTTAAATTATTTAATGTATAGAAAATCCCTGTGCCCTCACCTATAATGCCAGTGTCCATCTAATCACTGTGGTAATAGGAATAAGTGAGGATACCACTGCTTGTGAGTATCGTCCCTGAGTGTACCAGCCATCCAGCGCCAGCTGCAGCATCCCTGCACACTTGCTGTGCACATTTGCTGTGCTGGATATTTAGCATAGAGTTTTGCTGAACCCGTGCAGAGACTTAAGTAACTAATAGCTTACTGCCCATGAGGAAATTACCAGGGCCTGTATGACTCTTTTATGCCAGGTCAATAAAATACAAGCTAGAAAATGACTATTTACGTGCATAAAGGCTTCTATTTTCAAAAGCTCAGGATAAACTAAAAAAGATCTCACAACTTGAACTCAAATGCCTTTCTGAAGATGAATTAAATACACCTGTCAAATTGAGCTCTGTCTCTGAGAAGTTTTTTGCTGAAGGTCAGAACTGGACTCTTTCTCCTCCCTTTTGCTGATGCTTGGAGTTGATCCCAAGAACATCCTCTGTATACAGAAATGCCTAGGTTCAGTTCTCTCATTATTACCAACTTTCACTTCAGTGTAACTTCACTGATGTTGAGTGACTCTTGAAGTAGGGAAAAGAGTATTACATTTCAACATCATTCTAAGGTCAGAATAATTGAAATAAACTTCTTGTCCTGAATGTACTACATCATGATGGTGCTGTAAATGTTTATGTGAGTGACAACCAAAGTAACTGTCCCTGGAAGATGACAAATAATTGCTAGTTATTATTTAAAAAGAGTGATGCAGGTCAGACACGTTGGGCTCTTCAAACCAATCAATAGATAAGGCTCCAGTGAGGCTAGTGAAAACCCACTCTGTGTTTGAGATAATCTGTATTCTGATACTTTTAACTCAAGTCAATGCAAGTTTGTCTTCTTGTGCTAAGTAAAAATTTATTTTGACAGAAACTCTTATCGAGTAAGAGAGAGGAGTGTGTAGCTCTTGGATTGGAGGATTATACAGATAGTAATGAGGACCTGAATTTTTTTCAACTGCAGTTGGAGAAGAAGGCAGAGATTAGTATGAGCTGGTTTTCAGCAGCTAGCATGTGGTGAGCAGATACTGATAATCATTGAATGTCAATATAGGAATAGCCAAGGGAGAAAAGCACTACGAGACTTTGCGTCCTATGAAGTCACTGGGTATTATAGCACCTACGGTTCTGATCTATGAACCATTAATTTGATCTTCCTTGCTAGATTTATTTTGGCCATTTTCCTTTTATGTCTTGTGAGAAAGTAATCTGTAGGTGGCAGCAAACACCACGGCAGAGTGCACTGGCTATTTTTCTGCTCCCAGCGCTGTTGCACACAGCACTCCAGATGTGAGCCCTAAACTCAGTGGTCACAGCTTTGATTGAGAGAGCATTTTGGATATTATTAAAATGATTGGCAGTCCTCTGAAATCAGCATTTCAGCTATATCTATGTTGGGTTTTCTCCTGTAATTTCTCTAGGCATCCTAGATCTTATTTTTCAAGGCTTAGATTGTGCTTTTAGGCTAGACAAACATTTATTTATTTAATAAAAATACTGTCTTGGCTGGATGCTCAGGTTAAATTCAAGAAATAGTTCTGGCAAAAAAAAAAAAAAAAAAAAGTAGAGAAGAAGTAGAAAATTTACAGTACTGTGTTTCAGCATTTCCCAGAGAGTTTAAAATTGTGACTATGAAACAGAGTACCAAGACAGATTTTAAAGAAACACTAGCTGATAAATGATTTTATTTTAATTTTTTATTAAGTATGACATGGAATCAAATGTTTGGAAGGAAACACAAGTAAGAAAAACAAAGTAAGAAAATTTTGGTTTAAGTTTGGATAAAGGAAACAAATCTCTTGAGTTTTGGAGTAGCACTTAGACCAGTGTCAATCTTTTTAAATATTCTTTCACTATTGGTGTCTACTCAAAGTATATAAATCAAGTATATGTATGATTCTGCTTTTGTTGTTTTTTTTGTTTGTTTGTCTGTTTTGTTTTTGATTTTTTTTCCATAGTTAAATTGCATTATATGCAAATAATATGATTTCCTTATTACAGACTAGGAGAATTTACCATACCAGCAACCATTTTCACTGCTAGAATAAGTAGACACAACTTTACTGAGATTTGTGTGCCATCTAACTTTATACTAGTGATGAATTTATCCAGGATTTCTATTTAGGATTAGAAGTTTTCTGGAAGGGATTTTCCTCTAACTCAAATTATAAGATGTATGCATGAATAGACCTTACCCATTATGTACTGGCTGTGCACACTTTTTGCTGAAGATGTGCGCTGAGAGCATGTGAGCCTCCTGCTACCCTTCGGAAGAATTTTGGCAGGTAAGGTATTTCATCTCCTCCGCTTTCCAGCAGGACTTCAAATTTTGTCTGAGAAGGCATCTTGTCTGGGGAAAACCTGTAGAACAAACAAATTCCTTGGTCAGAAAAGGCATATCTTTTCTCTTACCATGGCTTTATCTAGCCAATTTCTCTAGTTCAAATAAGGAAATTATATTAACTGAATTAATTATATTAAATGTATAAGGAAAATAGTAACTTGGGTTTACTGATAACTGGACAATTGCCAACCAAACTGTAGTAGAGGTACAGATCTCTGTCAGTTTTTTGCATCTGTAGTGAAGCACCTAGTAGGCTAAAGGGAATCAAAAGCTTTAATGAATTTAATTACTGTACTTCATAATGTCCCTTTACTTTTAAGTGCATCTGAGCATGGAATAGCTATATTCATCCTGTTTTCACTGTGTCTGTGTTCATAGACATGGCTTTTGAGACTCTGTCCAAGTATTTGTCATCACACATTGTAATGGCAAAAACCTGGTTTCATCACAGTATGATGTGTTAGAGTGTGAACATATGGGTGACCCTTGGCTTTACTATATGTTGAATCTAAAGTCGGGGTATGCCTTTGCAGGTGGTAGACATCATGAGAATGAATGTGGACAAGGTGCTAGAAAGAGACCAGAAGCTCTCAGAGCTTGACAACCGGGCAGATGCATTGCAAGCAGGTGCCTCACAGTTTGAAACCAGTGCAGCCAAACTGAAGAGAAAATATTGGTGGAAAAATTGCAAGGTAAGGAGTATAAGGATCTCTTGTTAAGACATTACCTTTTCTTGCATGTACTGGGACTTTGCTTGTAAGATGGGATCTTTAAATAGTCTTTTATCAAGGGGAGAAGTAGGTGCCTTGCCCTCTATGTTGCATGACCACAAACCACTGTGAGAAGTGAGGAAATGACAGTGTCTTTTAAAGTGGGTTAGATTAGGACAGGGTAGATCTTGAAACAACCATCTGTCTTCTCTACTGTCCTCAAAGTCTCATTCTTTCCCTTAAGCAGAGAGACCCACTCTCTCCTCTGCCTTTTCAGACCTTTTCCACTAGCAGGATATGAATATTGTGGCAAAAGTTCACCTTATGTCCCATTTCTCTTCAACACTATCTTTGCTGCTGACTACTGATGGCCACTCATATAATAAAACCTGTTCCCAAAGGAGAATCCAAAATGCATTTTTATTAATCTGTTGTTGCCTGCTTTATCTCTTCAGTCGACAGTGCTATGATATGTAAAGCAAGGCAGAATATTCTGTTTAAACTACATGCACAAGCACTCCAGAATGAAGTAGATCTAGGTTAGAAACTCAGCTAAGCAGTTTCTCTGAGCCTATTCTAAACTGTTACCCAGTTGTTTTGCCCAGGTGTGCAGGAAGCAGGGCATTCTGGACCTACAGACCCAGATTTTGTGCTAGGTTCACCCACACTGAACTCAGTCACCATAGTGATCTATACTACACTAGACCTTCAAACCAGCTCTCATTCCCCTTTCTTCATTCTCCCTTTCTCCTTATGCTGACAAACAGAACCCTTCTTTCTTTCCTATGACTTCCAGTCTCGGTTAAGTAGGGGGAGCAATAAATAGACTTCCTGCAAATCAGCAGATTTTTCTGTCCTCTAGACATATGTTGTGAGGAATGAAGATCTTGATTCGAAATGTCCATATGCTTTTTAAAGTTGTTATTATTCTTCCTATTCTCACTGGGCTAATGATGTGAATTGGGCTGCAGCATCTCTGGTGTCCTCACTAGCATCCATCAAATCTAACATAGGGGCCTCTAACTCAGTGCTGGTACATGTCTGTGCACAGCTGGCCCTGATGAATCTGCTCCTTCCTATCCAGTGAGACATTTCTAGGCTAATGTGCTGGAAACCATGTGGCTGGTGTGGGCTACCTCTCAACAGCACAAGTACACAAAACCAGCAAAAATAACCGCTAGACATCAGACTTCTCTAGCCACCTCTTTCCTGACTAGGGAAACATGGTGAAAAGTGGTCAAGATACTCTGGTATAATATGGTGCCTAGATCAGAAAATCTCCCAAGTTAGAAGGGATCCACAAGAATCATTGACTTCAACTTCTAGCTCCCAGAATTCCAATATATGTCTGAGAGAGTTGTCCAAACACTTCTTGAACATCTTCAGCGTGGGGCTTTGCCTACCGCCCTGGGAGCCAGTTCCAGTGCCCAACCATCTCCGTGGTTTTGGAGAACCTTCTCCTAACTGAACCATGTGTGAATCCAGCCAGAGGGAACACATTTGCTTAAGTCATATCTGGAGTTGTATTACTTTAGAAGTCTATTTTTACTTTACTGCTGGAAATGGTTAAGTTTGGTCATTGCATCTTAGCTAATGAGCAAGAACTTGATAGCTTTGACAAGAGGGTAAGTCCGTTGCTGGAGGTCAGCTCTTCCTAAATTTGATAGCAAGTCTGGGGCTTTAACAAGTCTTCTACACTGGGTCTTTGCAAGAAGTAACACAGAAAGGGCTGTTAAATAAAAGCAAAAAACTCTGCCACTGTATTTCATCTGAAAACCTGATTTTCTCTTTTTTCTTGTAACTTTCTTTGAATAGATGATGATCATCCTTGGTGTAGTATGCACAGCCATTCTCATTATAATTATAAGTGAGTAATTCATTTTCTCTTTCATTTATGATCTGAATAGCTCTGTCACTTGTGAAGTGCTGATGTATTAGAAAACAAAACAAAATTTAAAAGGATATAAAATATTTAAATAGATTAATTTGTGAAATTCCCCTTCAAGAGTCAAGCTGTTATAGTGAGAATTACTGCAAGCTCATTAGACACATATAGGTAGAATTTATTGATGTTTAATGTATTTTACCTGAGCTTATTATGTAACTTTCCCCAGGATTAAAGGCTCACCCTTTTCATGTTTATATACCTTTTTTATGCAGTCTCAAATATCTTAATTAGAATCAGGGCTACAGCCATAGTTGTTTCTAGTGAGAACAGTAATTGTTGAATTAGCTCATACCTATCACTAGGAGGGTGAAGGCCCACATGGCAAATGGGCGTTTAATGAATTCCCCAGTTCCCACCAAATTAGTTGGAATTTGAGACGTTGCTGCTTCTAAAAATCCCTTTGCATCATAAATACTTCAATATTGGTAACAGATCGTGCAAAGACACGCTGCTTTAATGTCTTCAAACATCATTGTAGGAAGAGAGCATATAAATGAATAATGGCAGTCATGCTGGTTGGGAGCCAGGGATCTGGTAATGACAGGAATTAAACATTTTATTTATGTAACCTCTGGGCTAGCAACAGCCGTTACATGACATAACAGTAACATGGTATTAACTCCAAAAAGGGAGATTTCTTGAGTTAGATACAGCTGGTAACCCACAGGCGATTCACCAGGAGGCTACACTGTGGATGGGAATTAATTCCCAGCTCTCAAATTACATGCCTCACCTTTGGCATGTTTCCATTTTCCCGTTATTTCTGTAAAGGAGGCTTACAGAATCACCTGTAAACATAACTGAATGGATTGAGATACAGGTGGAAGTTTATTAGTCTTATGAATGCTGGCACCAGAGTGACCCAGAATGATTGTAGGGTTTCATAACTCTAATACAGCGAGAATGAGAACTGGCTAGATATTAATTAACTATATTAACCGGGTACTCGAGGTGAGTGGCTTCAAGAGAAAGACAGGCCTTTGTTCTGAAGTTTAGCAGCAACCTGAGAAGACAGATATGCAGCCATTGAATTGCTTGCTGTGTGTATATATATATATATCATCGAGTACTCTGTATCTTAACAAGAAAGTAAAAAACAGACAAGATAGCTAAGAATTTCTCCTTAAAAGTTAACTCTGAAATTATGTATGAGTGATAACGTTGTTTTCCTTCTGGTTTAAATGCTGAGTGCCTGCCTTGGTAAGTCTGGAAAAAGAAGTAGCAAGTTTGACATGCTTAGGTTGGATTCAGTATTTAATCACAAATGTGAGCGTCACATCATCAAACCGGGGTCTGTGTATTGAACTCAAAGGTGTCTTCATTTACAGCAGTTCTCAAGTATATTTGTAAATTCAGTTATCATCAAGTGTTCAGTAGGCTGCCATAGACAAGGCATGTAATCGATGTGAATGTCAGCAAGATATCTGCAGTGCCGGGCTGGTTATAGACACAGATAAACTGGGTAGTTCCTCACAGTAAGCAACAAACTACAATTGGTAACGTGATCCAAGCTGAGCCACCTTTCATGTTGGTAGTGAGACCCTGGACGAGTAGGCTGGCTGCCCAAGGAAGATCTACTCCATGTGGGCATGCAGGTATTGCTGGGGGTGGTTGCTCACATCAACGTCGCCCTTGTCTTTTCTATTTCTGGAGCCACAGTTTCCCTGCTTTCCCTTTAAATGCATTTTGGGATGGGAGTCACAGTTCTATTCCAAGCAGGAAGGCACAATGTTAAACCCTGTGTTCTTTCAGCAAAAGATGTGCTTGTCATCCTCAGGTAGAACAAGCTTCTGTGAGATAAAGCACAGTGGTAACTCTGTACTAACCAATGTTGTATGTCTTATTTTTCCCCTTCTGCTTCCTTTCTCAGTTTATTTCTCCACTTGAAAAAATGAAGAAGGAAGACTTGGCACAACTTTGTTCGTATCAACCAACAATATCAGTGTTCCTTTGTTGAACTCCGCTTTTTAATTCCTGGTGTCTTGGGATTTTTGCTTCTAATAACGTATAAGCATTCAGTGTGGTGTGTTTTGGAATTCTGTTGTTTCCACAAGAAACTGTACCAGCTAAATACTGCCAAGTAGTTCCATACACTGTCTTATCACTGTGTCTTACAATGTGCACGCACTGACCTTTAGAAACTGTAGTATATGAAAAGCATCCTAAATATCTCAGAATTGGAGAATGCAGCTGTAGGAGAGTTCCTGCGTAAAGGGACACTGTCAGGTTTCAGCAAACATGAGGGCCAAAATTCTTAGTCTGAGTACCTAAAGTTGTGTGGCAAAATCCACTATCAGGTGCAGCTTTTTGAGGTAGCAAGTGTCTGCTGCACTGGAGAATGGTACTTGCAACTATTCATAGAATGTGTAAGACATCTCTACTTAGCCAAGCAATCACATATGTTTTTGAAATCAAATGTGATATCCATCTAAAAACATTACCTGCAGAAAATAAATATACCTGCATTTTATGGATTTAATTTTTCCCTTGCAGTATGTTCTGAGCAACTGAGATGGCCTCAGTGTGAAAGACAGAAGACTGTACGACACCAAAAAATGTTAGCTAGCACAATCTTGAAAAAGCTCAGTGAAATGCAAAAATGGTAATACAAGCACCATAAATAACCAAGATGCAGATTCTTGCTAAGAACTCAAGGTAGTGTCTGTCACAATTCACAGAACTCTCTTGAATGACAAACTCCAATGCTTATAGCTCTAACTTGAGTATATAAATGACTTGGGTGATGTCTGTGGCTTCCCATCACAACTGTAAGAATGTTCTACACCATTTTGCAGAAATGGTTCCCTTTGTGAGGATCAGTTAAAAATCGGGAAGAGGAGGATGCAGTAACAGAAGGAACTGTAGGGACAGAGGCCAGGGAATGGAAATTGGATAGTGCCTAACAAAGCTTTCCTTGAGCAGAGGAAGGCAGAGAAACACTGTTCTAAACTGGAGGTGTTAGTAGGCTTACTTAAATTTAAGTTGTGTTTGTATAGTTTATAAGCTGTAACATCATCTTAATAAAGTACTCAGTTTAGATATTTTTCATACTTAAACCAACATTTGATACAATTAAAGTAAAGAATACATTGCATTTGGGGGGAAAGTTGTATGTATTGTTGTAAGGTTACACCCAAGTGTTTGATTTCTACTTGATTTTTAAGATACTGCACAGTTTGTTTTGAGAAGAATGTGGATAATATCCGGAGAGAATTATACCAATTTTAAGCTTATCTATTTAAACTAGAAACTAAAATTTTCAGATTTTGAGCCAAGCAATCCTGACAGCTCCTGTTTAAGTTGAGATCTTCAGAATTTCTAAGAATTGCTAGATTTTCTTTTTTTAATTTTATTTATTTATTTATTTATTTTTGCCTGCAACTCTGTTAAGGCACATAAATAGCTATATCAGCAGATATGCTCATTGAAGAGCATCTCTCTTAACGTGATCTTAGACTTAAAAAAAGAGAGAACCAGACAAGTTCATTGCAGTAGATCTCAAGTAGAATTTGGTGGAGGGAATAAGCAATGATTAGTTGAATGGTTCCAGCTGCATTGTTTTTCTATATATTTATTACTTCACTTTCACGTGTATTGTTTCATATTGTTAACTAGCAGGTGGCCATGGTCATAATAAAAGTAACCTTCAAACATTAGTAACTTTCAAAGTTTCTGATGTGCTACTGGTATGCCCTGCTTGCTTCAGTTCATCAGCTAAGTGCATGAACTATTCTAAAATCCTCATGGATCGGACAGAAAATTATGCTGTCATTAAAGGGCCTGACTTTGTGAAATGCTGTTATTGTGTGTAATTGAAACTTTTCTGGGAAAAGAATAAGCTATCCAACTTCAGGACCCTTTTTAGACTATTAAGATATTTGGATAACAGTTAGAAAGAACTACCTCCTGATGGTGAGACCCTGCCGCCCATACTCACGTTGAGCATGACTTGATCCTCATGGGGCTTCTCTACAGGAATGCTGAAACATCTCATGAGATACAAATAGCTTTCACTGAAGATAGTACAATCAGTAAGGTTATATGATACCATCATATCCATCAGTCTAAAGTGACTGTTTATTTGATATAAGCAAGAGATACACACGAAGAAGCTATGAAGATGCAAAGTTTACAAATGAAACTATAATGAATCTGTAAGAGCTCAGTCCTCTGAGCTCATTAATCTCAAGTTAGTAATCAAAATGGGAGCTTTAGGGGGCAGTGGAGAAGATAAACTGCTGAATGTGTATTCATTCTCCCTCAAAATAGCAACTGACAAGGTTGACTACTACTAGACGCTGGTAAGAATTTGCAAGAGTTTAGTCATGAAACCTAGCCTCTAGTGGGCTGTAAAATGTTCATGAAGAGGCAATTTCCTCCTGTGTTCTAATAAATTTGCTAAATTAATGTTTTTAAATTGGTTGCCTTATAGTGTGCTTGTGCATGTCCAATGTTCGCTAGCTGTACTGTTTGGTTGCAGCTGGTAAGCCATGTAACATTTCTAATTCAGCCCAAGAAACACAAACAAGTATGTCCTTCTGCACTGTATAGACCTGGAGTCTTACTGCTCCTGCAGCTGTTAATTATCTCACAGTGAGAATATGGTAATAGAGAACAGTTTAAGGTCATGGATTGTGAAACACCATCACTTACACATGGAGTGTGACAGAGGACAATCTATATAAACACAGTTGGAGATCTTATTTGTGTTTAAGCCAGGATTGATTTGTTTTTCAGTCACTGCCTTTATGTTTAAAATGTCCATTCATAATTACAGCTCCCTATATGTAATAGCAAATTTCCCATATAAAGGTTAACTCATTCTTCTTTAGTCAGTACTGGCTAGAATTTAAACTATGACTCTTCATCACTAATTACTGCCCAGGCTCATGCTGGCAAAAAGGCATAAAGTGGCTCCCTTTTATCTACTTCATGGCAAACCCTCAGGAGACTGCAAGGCTGATTAACTTATGATTGCCATCCCAGGGACCAAATGGAAGACTTCTCTGGCTGGAAGCTTTAGCTAGAGTTTTCATAGCTTTAATTTATATTTTGGCAGCTTTAACTGGAGTTAGACTAGTTACACTAGTAACATAAGAGACTTGCATTCTCAGTACTTATAATCAGCACTTACTCTTCCCCTGATTTCTGGGCTACAGCTGCACTGCTGGCATGATAATGACATTCAGAAACATCATTGCTGAAATTGGCTGATTAGGAGCTAGTCTGTGTTTGTGTCATAGCTGCTTTTTAGCTTGACTACACATCAATATGTTAGGTTTAAGTAGTGTTATTTGCAGCCACTCTTCACAGAGCAGTAAAGTCCTGCCTGGTCGTTATGCCTTCTTCCTTCTAATTTAGCTCACCTTGAAATAACATAAATATGGCTCTAAACCTAAATATCTGGAATGCAGAACTTGCGGGAGCAAGTAGTGTGAAGTCCAAACAGAGACACCTGATGACCTTGTTATGTAACAGCACAGTCAGTCCAACGTAGTTCAACATAATCCGGTATTATTAAATGGAGGAGGGAGAATCCTCCTCCAGATGAAGATTCTGAATGTAACTCTAGGGTCTGTAGGACAAGAAGTGATCTCAAAGTTTAGTCAATTTGACTTTTAAAGCTGGTACTTCTGTTCCATTGGAACCTGCATGAAGTAAGGCCTGGCTTTTTTTCTTGGTTAGCAAGGCCTTTTGAAATTCATCATTTGCTGCGTCTCATTCATTCATTCATTCCTGTCCCTGATTCTCCAACAGACCTTCCTATAACTTTCTGAACAGTCAAGCTACTTTTTGTCTAAATAGGTTTTAGCTCTTATAAGCAAGTTCATGACTCTGACATGTCTTTTAAGAGCATGCATGTAAAACAGTGATGTCTGTTTCTCCAAAGTGCATCTGTCATGGCAGACAGACTTCAGGAACTTTTGGAAGCTCAGGTATTACTGAAATCTTTGTACTTTTATGGAGGTTTTTTTCTCTGTCCTATGTGAGGTTATAGACCCAGTGGGCGTATGTATAATCTATTATTTTTTCATGGTAGTGCCTCTGTTGCTCATGTTGGTGCTAGATCTGCTAGATCTTCACAAAACAAATCAGAGGGCACTTGAGTGTAACCAAGGGCTTACATCTTGACCCCACCTCTCCTGCCTTTTAAGCAGTAGCCATGTAAGGCAATGGGCTCACTCCCAATGTACACAGTGAGTAGTGGAGAAAGGTCTCAAAGAGGCCAAAGTCTCTTTGGTCTGGATTCAGACCTGAATCTGACCTAACCTGAACCTTAGGACAGTAACAGACTTAACCTTTGGGTTCCCTGTGTAGTCAGAGGAGTTGAGATGCTCTTCTTGGCAGTTATTCTCCCCAGCTGATCTGGGGCCCTTTTGTGAAATGGAATTTATTTGAGCTTGTGTTTCTCCATGCTAGATAAAGTACAAGCACCCTCAAACACCTATCTTTAAAAGCTGAAAGGCTGAATAACATTGTTTGAAAATAGCAATTGTATCATGAGAAATAATTGGCTGAAAATGTCTTAGATGATGGCTGTTACTTTCAGTAGGAATACAAGATTGAGATGTATGAAACAGTCCAACAAGAACCTCGCGTTTCCTTTTTCCTTCTTTTCTCCTTCAGAAATTATTCCACTTCAAGAAATGATTTTTTTTCTTCTTCAATTAACTTCCCTTACTTTATTTCATTAATTGATGTTTCCATTGATGTTCTCAGTTGCCTTTTTTCTCCATTGAGAACCAGAAGACTGACACATGCATAAAAAGAGATCTGAGCCACCCAAGAAGCTTACCTTTTTTCCCAATGCACTGACATTTAAAAGCTACATCTTACAGTAAAGTAAAACTGTGGCAGTCTGATTACAAGCAGTTTTGGTAAACACTTGATTATTTAACAATGAGTCATTTCTGCAGTAACCTCATTCTGTCATGACTGCATCACATCTGCTAATTCTCTAAAGCAAAAATCATAACCTGTACTGGTTAAAAACATGAATACAGCCTCATGGTTCATATGTAACACTCTATTCAAGCAAAGAAGCCATGTGCTGTAAGTTTAAAAGGGCAAATTATTTGTTTTCAAAGAGAAAATACCATAGAGAACAACAAAGATAATTACGAAAGGCTGCCCATTCTTTAGCTATTCTCACAGTAGCTGGCTTCACCATTATTCTTCAAGTCTTTGTTCTCTTTTAAAGCCTTTGTGTTTTTGGAGCGTAATATATTTGGAGCATAGCATATTGGGGCTGTTCTGTTGCCCTATGAATTGACTCCCTGCCTTCTGTCCTGTTGTTATTGTTGACCTCAATCGTAGCTGAGTTAGGCCTGAGTGGAGCACAGCCTCCTGCCCATAATGCCTCCTTGTCCTCAAACCAGCCCCTACTGAGGGGATGAGAACACTGAAGGCAGGGTACGGCTCTTGGATATAATGCAGTTCGAAAAGATGCAATAGTGCACAATGCAGTTTTAATTAATTTTTTAGTATTTCTTGGAACAGTAATTCTATCAGTTTTGTTGGAAGACAGAGGAAATGGCAAATAAGGATTGAGTGATAATGACAAAGTAGTAAATGGGGAAGTGGTTTAAGTGAAATGTTGCCAACATTCTGTAGCCTCCTTGGAGAGCCTGTACTTAAGAGCGCCATTCACATGCTAAACTAAGCCGTGCTAGTCTGTTGAAGTGTATATACACCACTGCTTCAAATGAGGCAGCTGAATGTACTTCTTTTCACCTTTTTTCTTGAAAATACAGGAGACATACACAGTGACGATTTAGAGTTTTTGGCAAGGAGAGCAGTTCGGGATGTACCACCCCAAGGCATGTTGCCCATGTGCTGCAGAAGTGCTGCAGGACTTGAGTCAAATAAGGGCTCCAGAGTGATAGAGTGATCGGTGCATTAAATAGATATACCTCTTGCTGTACACAGCTTCAGTCTGCCAGTAATAACATCTTATTGACACAGCGTCATCTTTTTGTTTACCCTCATTCCATGCTAATATCTATTCTTTTCCACTATTAAACGGTCCATGATGGAAAGGATGGAAAAACTCTGTGCTGAATCCAATACATTTTTGACATCCTGGACGTGTGGTGGTGCTGGTTTGAGCTTGTGGAAAAAGAAGAGTTTAAAAGAACTAACAGCCTTCATTATGTTAATGTATCCTTAGAAATTAGTTTCTCCCCCAATAAGCTGCAGATTTATTGAAAGTAAGACCAAATAATGTGGAATCATAGAATTGTTAAGGTTGGAAAAGACCTGAAAAGATCATCAAGTGCAACCATCAGCTGTAGCTGCTGTTGTTTTCTTTGTAAGATATGAGATGATACAAACGATAGAGCTGTGAATTCATGGAAGTACAGCACACAATTGTTTTTGGAAGTTCAACTCTTAATATTTATAGAATTTACCTGAAAGGTTGCAACAGTTTCTCCATTAGTCAGGCTCATGTTGGTTAGACCTGACAATGTAGTGGTCAGTGTGGGCCCCGTGCCACTAACAAACTACAGCATCCTAAATACTGCAAGTTCAGCCTTTCGTGGAACTTAAAAGGAAAACTGACTCAGAATAAAAGTAGAACTGCATCATAAAGGCTATAGGTATACAGTTTATCTCTAAATATTCTTTGTATTTAAGTTACTAGCAGCTATACAAATTAGACAAATAGTAAGCTTCCAAAGCCCGTTTATTAATGACAGATTTTTTTTTCAGTAGAAATGCAAAGTTCAATATATTTTCCATTTGCTTTTTTCCCAACCTGGATATAAGATTAAACGCTAATGCAACTAAGCCACATGCACAGGTCTGCACAATGAAAGATTACTGGTAGTCAACTATTTGTAATGAAATCCATTATTACTTTGTCTTGTAAATGAAAAGTCCTCCCTCCTCAACCACAGGGTAAAATATTAGTCATATTGTGTTTATCAGCACCACTGAAAGATCAGACATTAGAAAGATTAGTACCTCCTACTCAAGAATGGGGCCTAAAAGCTTCCTTTGTCTGTTGCAAAAATACATTTTGAGGGGGAAATATCAACTGTTGTAGAGGTTAAATTTTTATTTCACAACTGTTTTTTCCTCCCTTGCTCCAAATGCATATTTATATGTGGACAAACGTTTGCCATTTGGGTGGTACGTTCTTTTCTGAAGTATGGAAGAGGTAAAGTACAACCAGTATTTACCATGGGCAATCTTTACTTAGTTTTGCATTATAAAAAGTTCTCACAGTGTCCATATATTAATTCTTATAAATTTGTTTTAGCCATTGCAGGAAATAAGAGTTTGTAGCCAGTTAATAATTGTTTTTCTTAATCACATGTTTGAGTTTTATTGCTGAAAAGCAGCCTCTGAAGGTGCTATGCATACAATTCAGCAATGTAGACCTGAACATATGGTTGAGTATTTCACATTCTGGCCTTGAGCAAAGAACAAAGCATGCCCTGTTTTGGAAGCTACTTCAGCACATGCTTAAGCACATAGCGAATTTCTCCTCTCTGGGGGCTTTGAGATAGAAGCCAAGGAAAGAGAAGAAGAAGATAGCTATGTATCTTTTATCACCATCTGAGATTGAGGGCATACTGCATCACACAGTGCTAATGGGAAGAGACAACTTCCCATTGACTCACCTGTCCTTACTAAATCCAGGCCTGATGAGGAAACCATGCTATGTTCTAATTCAGGAGAGGAAAAGCCTTTCCTTTGAATGATAGAAGATTAGGTTGGAATGGTCTTCTGGGGTTTATTTATTCCAATCAAAGTAGGACCAAGTGAAGTTGGATCAGATTGCTCGGGGTTTGTCATGCTAAGTTTTGAACGTTTTCAAGGATGGTGGGGGATTCAAGAGTGAACTCTGCCAATGGGCACCATGATACAAGAAGGACAAGAAACTATTCGAGAGCATCCAAAGGAGGGCCACAAAGATGCTGAAGGGTCTGGAGTGCAAGATCTATGAGGAGTGGTTGAGATCCCCTGCTTTGTTTGGCCCAGAGCACAGGGGCTGAGCAGAGCCCTCGTGGCAACCGCAGCTCCTCACTGGGAGCAGATGGGCAGCGCTGAGCTGTGCTCTGTGTGACAGCGACTGTGCCCAAGGGAATGGCATGGGGCTGTGTTGGGCAGGGGCAGCTGGGGGCAGGGAGAGGTTCTGCAGCACAGGGCGGTGGGTGTCTGGGTCAGGTCTGATGAAGCTGAGGATATCAGTGTATTCTTCTCCTCCTGCATACATGAAGCCCACACCTCTGAGGCCAAACCTGAGGCTATCGATAGCATTCAATCAGATTCAAGGCATCTGGTAGTCTGATTCTGCACTGTTTGAGGTCAGTGACAAAACATTGACTGGTTACTAAGTTACTAAAGTGGCACAAGAGAAAGAATGGAAGTTACTGATATTCTAGTTTTCCTCACAAGCCACTTTAACAATGCCAGTCTCTGTTCAATGCCACTGGAATGGCAGTGCAAAACAAAAACTTTTCTTCTATTTCCTTCCTTTTAATTCTTCAAGCTTTCTTTCCTCTAGTAGGAATAACCAGTAATTTATTTTCAGTTGCCATTTTAAAAACTAAACTCCAGACCAAACCATTAATTGCATCCTTTTAAGGCCACACCATAGCGCTAAGCTATGTAGTAATGAGTTCAAAAAGGATCTGAAAGCCTTTGCCGAGAACAGCATCTCTGACCTCGTGGACTCAACTGTACTGGGCAAGAAATTGAGATTTGTGCCTCTATAGAAAATATTCCATTTGCTTCTTAATAGAGCTACCTGAGAAGGAAAAAAATGTTGTGGAGACCAGGAAATTTCTGAAAGTGCTCGACCTGGAGGTCAGTGGATGTTAGTTTATAAATGATAAAATTCCACATACATTCTGATGCTAAAATTGTGACAACTTAAGATGTTTGATATTACTGTATTTTCTTGTGGGTGGTGATTTTTTTTTCTTGAAGTGGTGAACATATTTTCCAAGAATACTGTATACATTTGTAACATGTATGTTTGTGCCAATAAATCTTGTTTTAAGTAGATGCTTTCTGTTTTGTTTCTATTCTGAATGCACACAGTTAAGCAGAGGTAAGTAGTTTCAGCTTTCATTCCCTCTCTGTGTTATCTTCTGGAAACACATATTTTCTAAGTCACCCTGAATTTTTATATACTCAGTCTAACAGAAAAGTAAAAAACTTCTGGTGTAAGACAACAGTGAAATCCATATACAAAAAAAGGAGAAGGGAAGCAGTGGAAGCACTAGTATAATCATTAAAGAATTGTCATTAAAGGGAAGCACGTGAGAAAATGCATTTATTACATTTGACCTTCTTACTTCTCCCTATGGAGAAATATATTTTCCTGTTAATAAAGCACACTTAACTAAGGGAACTCACTGCCACAGAGTCTTGCTAGTTCAGGGGTTTTGTGTACTTCAGATGCATTTTTAAGTGGAGAAAGAAGGATTTTTTTGTGAGAGGAATACAGACTTTCAGGATCATCTTCTGCTTTAACTTGAAACAGCTGCTGATGCCTACGACTAGTGTGATGGCTTAATGGGGCACAGAAACCATTACCATCCTTATCATTAATGAGTAATTAAGCTCCTTGAAGGGACAAGAGTTGGCTGCTTTTGTCCCCTCCTAGGGACTACCCCTACATTTTTAAATATATAAGCATCACAGATAGCTAGATATTTCTAGATGGTTCTATGCCTTCATGCCTATGGGACATCATTCAGTAATTTTAAATTGTCTGCAAATCATGTCAGTGCATATGAAGGTATGGTATTATCTCCCCACCTGACACACCAGAACAGGTGATACCAAAAGGCACAGTGCTCTTTTAGTAAAACAACAGCCTTTTCCTTGGTAACTCTTAGCACGCTTGGCAGTAAACTGGGGACACCATGAATCTGTAAGAAGCTAGGACAAAGAAACCATTGATTTTTTTTTTTATTTTTGTTTCATACAATGCAAATTCTCACCTATGTGAAGTAGCATATAGGGACTGAGAGAGTGAATTAGGCTGCGTGGTGCATGTAGATGTGATATTGAAGAACACAGGAAACTGATCAAAGCCAAAATAAGGCTTATGCTAATAATGAAGAAATCCTCTGTTAGCTCCCTTACAGTCAGGTTAGCTAATTAGCTCAGTTTTGCTGAAAGACAATGGTTCAATTTCCAATGATCCAGCTTATATAGAATTCTAGTAAGTGATGAAATCAAGTAAAAATGAAATTATATGTAGTGATTATGGGGAAGATAGCAGGACTAGTAAGATCATATGAAAAATCAAATGTATTTTTGCATGTTGTATGGATAGCAGTTTTGCATAACTGATGGAAGTTCAGGGAGAAGAGAGGGCTGTTTGGGGGATTTATTAAGGTAACAGGATGAACAGCTCTGGGATATGCTTATGCTTTGGAATATAGTTCGAAGACAAGGCAGACCTTGAAGTGACCATACATACTCTGCTTTCTGAGCTGAACTACATGGAGGTAAGTGAATGAACACAATGCTTTTAAGTGCTCCTGACATATTTAAAATTTAAAAAGAATCTCACCATTTAGGGAAAATATAAAAAAGTGCAGACTGAGGATGAAAGACCTCAAATCTTGAGACTAATAGATCTCTATGTGAAACATAAGCTAGGTAGTGATGATGACTGTGATTAAAAAAAATTTGTTTTGCTTTCTGAGATCTTTCAAATCTAAAAGAATGTAATCTTGTAATGGCACCTGTGATTTGGGCAGCTATTAAGAGAAGTTCTTACACCTACAAATATTAACACATTTTACTGTGGGAATCTCCTGGTATCAATGACGCTCAGTTAAAACTGTTTTAAGACAACTACAATGACTCTGCAGAAATAACACCCTTTCTTCCTCCCTCAGCATTGAACAGTCTAATTATAATTTGTCAGCCATTAGCTGAACTGCTTAATAAATGTGGATAAGCCTGGCTTTTCTACTGTCTGTTGGCTACAGATTTTCAATAAATGTGTAGTTGTGGCACTTAGGGAAATGGCTTAGTAGGTATGGTGAGGATGGGTTGACTTGACGATCTTTTCCAGTCTTAATTATTCTAATTCTTCAGATCATGTCCTCCTTTGTCACCCTAGAAGTCCATTTCTGCACATCTGCCAGTTCCATCACGTATGACCAGGGCAGCAGTAAGTGTTCTCATACAAGTGTGGGCTCACTAAATGCTTTATGTGGTAGCACAGACATTTCGTTGCCTCTTTTAAAGGAAACTGAAACATCCTACAGGCATATTAGTATTACCTACAACAGTAATTATTACAATTGCTTACAGTATTTAACACTGTCAATACCAGCTCTGCCTCCATGGCAGTCATCCTGATATTATACCCATTGTTTCATTTAATCTCTTACTTCTATAGTTTTGGGCAATTAAAAAAATTATCATTAGTGAAACTACTGTAAGCAATCTCTTTAAGGATGAATTTCATCTAAATCCTCCTGCTTCTGTCAGCAAGAGTTTTAGGGTTTTCTGTTTCACTCAAGAGTATAAGGCCTGAGAAATTGAGTAATTTCCCCACAGCTACAACTTCCCCATCCTCCAGCATTCGTATACAAAAAGCAAAACTTTCTTCCTGCACAGGCATTTCTTGACCACTCAAACAGATAATCACTTTGGACACTGATGCCAGTTGTAAATGAGATGCCTCGGTTTGTCAGTTAGATGGAAGAAATACAGTAGCAGCCTTTGCTGAGGACCAGAAATGGTATTTCTGGGGAGATATAGGCAAAAGTAGTACGCTCAAGGCCTGACTATAATCTAGATGATGAGCTAACCTACATGTTGATCTGTAGCTAAGCCCAGAATTTATAGCCCTATGGAGTAAGGCGGCCAAGCTGGCTCTGTTTTAGTGCTGATGCATTTCTGTGGCGCTGTGCCCATTAGGAGCTGCCCTTGGCTGTATACAAATTTATCAGCTTTCGTGTAGAATACTGAAAAGCTTTCTGATGACACTAAGACACCATTGTTTTACAAATATCCCAGTGTCTGGATTCTACCACAAAATAATATTTTAACAATTAGAACGTTAATACCCAAACAAGAGCAGTGTGAGCTCTTCTTCAGCATAGTATGGCTGAATAACACATCATGATCACACCTAGAGATAGAGAGCAAAAAGGGAGGTTATAAAGTGAGCCTTTCAAATACAAAACCTGCCTGCTCTCTTTTGACCCAGGCAACAGGGAGAAGTCGAGCCTCAGAATATCTTTAATTGGCAGTTTCTATTCCTGATTGTTTTCTCTGTGAGACCTTAGAGAATCTGTGGGAGCTTTCAGAACTTTCCCCTTTTTTAATGTGCTGGCACGATCAGGCACATCGCAATGCAATGTCAGAAAGAAGATTCTCGTTTAAAATTTTCTTAAAAAAAAAAAAAAAAAAAAAAAAAATCAAACTAAATCATGTTTTTAAAATCCTGCAATGAAGGAAAACCCCACCACCAATCAGCCCTTTCCACGCCGCAGCCGGACAGCGGCCCGCAGTGAGCCTGCGCGGGGCTCCCCCTGCTGCGAGCCTCGGGGGATTCCGGCGGCGGGAGCGGCCCCACAGAGCGGCCCTGCTGTGCTGTGGGCGCTGCTGCCTACCGCTTGTTATGCTGGGGAATTTATTCCACCTTATGCCGAGGTAGACTAATAGCGTCAGACTTAATTGCACATTCAAAACGAATTCAGTCGCAATCTGTATGCACGGAATTAATCTGCGCTGTCTGCCCCTCAGGTTAACCGTTGTGCTGTGCTGTAATTGTACTGCTTGTAACACTTCTCACATTGCTCTCCTCACATCAGTTAATTCAGACAGCCTTCGCGTTTCTCAAGCGCTCTCAAACTTACAGCGTTTTGGGGAGTGTGATTTTTGGCACTGTCTCATTTGCTCTGCACCACCCCCCAGTGTCCTGTTCTCCGTTTCGTGATGCTGTGTGAAATGCTGCTCCCCCTCTTGCCTGGGCTATTATGCCACAAGGAATTTCACTTCAGTTCTTGGCTTTCTCTATTTAAAAAGATTCATTGAGAAGACTGAGGTCTGGCCATAATGGTGGCCAATGTTGACCATCAGAGTTTTTTGTATTCTCTTGATGCTTCCAGGTTAGCATCCAGCATTTTCAAGTTCAGCATTGCACAGGGTGACTCTGATTATGTTGCCTCATTTGTCCTCAATGGACTCTCAATTCTTGTTTTTCTTTTTCTTTTTTTTTCTTTTTTTAATTTAAAGTATATAATTTAAATGCACCTTAGAAGGAAAGGCTGTGAATTTCTCATGTATAATAGGTCTTTCCTGTACTCTCTTGCAATAGAGTCAACATGAAGCACGTTGCCCACAGCTGTCTATATAAAGGCTCCCTGTGTCGTGTGCTGTAGTGGGAACGGGCTCACCAGTTGAATAGAGCTGCTGAACCAGTTACGGATGTAGTCTGACAATCATAGAACAAACATGACTCATTTAAGAACGTTCCCTACCTTCCCTTCTAATGAGTGGTTTCACCACAGTCAGTAAACTAGAACTGAAGGGAGAACAAAGAGTTCTTCAGGCAGCTCCGCAGTGTTCTCGCACGCCACCTGCCCTGCTGCAGGAGTATGTCTGACATATTAATAGAGCCAACTGCCCTTCTGTAATTGCCTGCCCTCCGGCATCCCAGCCCCCACCACACCTCTGGCAGCAGATACCAACGTGTCCATGCTAACGATACTAATAGCAATACTAACAAATGAGCAGATCTACAGCGTGGTTTTAAGACAAAAAAAAGCTTTTAAACTACAGAATACTGGTGTGTTGAGATCATAATTTTTTGTTGTGGGATAAAGATAATGGTGTTAAGAGAACGGAGTTCTGTAAATAAGGGGACTTTGGTCTAGCTTGACCAAGGCATCAAGGCTTGGTTGTGTCTTCACACTGAAGAGTGATCGACTTCCAAACTGAGTTTTCTTATCTAGGGAGTAAGAAATGAACCTGTGCTACATCTTTGCTTTCCCACCTTCTGGTAGATCAGCAATTGCTTCGCTA